TCATCATAAATGTATTTAAAATCCAATAACTTTTTTGTTTCGATTTATATTTTCTTAACACTTGCTCCTGATCTTATTGGGAATGATTTATTGTGCATGATATATTCCAATGATATTCTGAAACAGCTTTCCTTTTCTGGTGTGCTGATATCATTTTGAAATATGAGACATTAAACTAGGTTGTGAAATGCTGATTCATGTGCTTTTTAAGCGTTGCAATTTAAACGATTTAAATGACATTTTTGATTGTCATAAATTACATTAAGCTATTTTTTGGGCCTAAAAACGTGTAACTGCATACTTAAACCACCAGATAGTAGAGCAGTGTTGTTGCAGTGCCCATGTAATGCAGTGCTGTCTGAGACTCTCTTGTACAGCAAGAGGTTGTTTGGGTGTTATGTAACACACTCCCTGGGGGAAACGGCTACTTTCCTCCCCAGCGACCCACATTTTCTGTGCTCATCCATGTCTAACAGTCTCTCTTCCTTGTTTTTCTCCTCTGTATTGTTTTTATTCTGTTCTACTTCACTGTACTTCACTACAATCCACAATAGTGGAAAAGTATTATACAAGATTATTTGACTGTGTACAGGTGGTGTCACAAGCTTTATGCATAAATAACCTAATAAGCTTTAGTTGAGCATTAATTTGACTGGATCTATTCTAATGCGTTTTTTATATATGAAGTCCAGTATTGTTGTGATGCAGAATAGCACTGGTTGATCTCCTTACTCTCTCTAGTGGTCACAGATAGACATGCACAGTGTTTCCACTTCCTCATGAGGATGTTTCATCTGGATGTTTGGTGAGTTGCATGAACGACATGTTTCATGTATTTTAATTCACATTTTAATACAGTTTTAAGAAACAGTTTACCAGAAATAAAAACAAATCTGTCGTTATTTACTCGCCCTCATGTCGCTTCAGATTGATTTGATTTCCTATTGCTGTTTCATTTTCATATAATAAAGTAAATGAGCACAAGTACTGCCCAGACATGATGAAACAGCACTATACAATATATTTGTGTGGGAGCCGCCATATGGTGGAGTGAAAGTAACACATGGTCTTTCACAGGGAGCAAAGGTCGAAGAACAGAAGTGTGACTTCTCTAATCTTCTCTTACATTTACATTCATTCATTCAGCAGATGCTTTTATCTAATCCAACAACATAAGCAATTCATTTAGTTCATTCCTAAGTGACCTTTGACCTTGAAACTGTTATACAGGAAGCCAGTGGCTCTCAACTGGAGGGTTGTGTCTGTTGAACGAATGAATGAATGAATGAATAAATAAATAAATGGCACACAATGCTCAGTTAAGATATTCCATTTGGTTAGATATAATTGATCATTTGTATAATTGATCATTTCTATATAATTTCTATCTTAGTACGCCATACAGGTGCATCTCAATAAATTTGAATGTCGTGGAAAAGTTCATTTATTTCAGTAATTCAACTCAAATTGTGAAACTCATGTATTAAATAAATTCAGTGCACACAGACTGAAGTAGTTTAAGTCTTTGGTTCTTTTAATTGTGATGATTTTGACTCACATTTAACAAAAACCCACCAATTCACTATCTCAACAAATTAGAATACTTCATAAGACTAATAAAAAATTTTTTTTAGTGAATTGTTGGCCTTCTGGAAAGTATGTTCATTTACTGTACATGTACTCAATACTTGGTAGGGGCTCCTTTTGCTTTAATTACTGCCTCAATTCGGCGTGGCATGGATTAGTAGGCAGTGTTATTTTTGTATAATTGTTGTGTGTGTGTGTGTCATTATTTTTATTATTTAAATATCTATATAGTTTATTCATTTTATGTTTTATTTAAGTTAAACTAGCTGAAAGAGAACTAGCTGAAATTAAATAATTATTTTATTTCAAGTAACGATTTCCTGGTTTTAAGTATGTTTACTATAATAATAACCCATAGGAGCCAAGTAAAAAAAAAAATGTCAGAAAACTGCAAGCTGAGAAGCTCTTTTCAAGTGCTAATTTAAAAAAAGGTTAATTTGTACTTGTTTAACCCCACGTGTCCTATAGACTTCCACTGAAATTGAATTCCTGTACTTTTATACATACTAAGCATGGGAATTCAGAAGCAGCCAAGGTGTTTATGGTTATTTTATAGCTAATTCTGTTTCATGTACAGATTTTTTTAGTAAAGTCATCATCACACATCATTAACACATATTGAGCTGAGAGCAGAACGGCCCAATGCACAAAACAGCTTTATATGAAGCTGTATATTGAAGATCTTTAAATATTTCCTACCGCTAGTCTAAACCCCAGAGCAAAAGAAAACAGTTGCAAAATGAATTAAAATCCACATTTATGGGTAGAAGAAAACGAATGTAATGAGGATTATATCTAATATGGTGGGCAAATTAAAATGTATCAGTTTATTTCTCAGTATTTAATACACATAGGAACATTTTCAGCATTTTATCCCATATCAGAATTATTGCAAAACGATATATGCATATAAAGAAACAACTCTGCCAAGATAGTTCTGTCCTACTTCTGTAATGGAAAAAAAATAAAAAATCCACACTGAATAATTGTCCAACAGAGGGCAGTCACTCCCTATTTTATAATGTACTTTATACATAAACAGTGATAAAGGAAATATAATATTACAAATTTGGTCGTTTCAAAGCAGTAAAAGAGTGCCTTGATTGCACCAGTGATGACTGCGGCAAGAAAAAACTCCCTAAGATGTCAGAATGTCTGCAGCCTATATGTCCAATAATGCTTTTTCTTGTTTCAAGACAAAATTAAGAAAAATCACAAATGATAAACCCAAACTCTGACTTTAAACTGATTCTTAATGTGAAGCTCAGAACAAAGACACAACACAAACTATTGAAAGTTTCTCCTGATCTCTTTTGAACACTTATTCATGTCTAGTGTTGAGTTCTCTGCTGAATGGACGTTTTTGACATTGACCCACATTATTTCCACTGATTGCTGCTGTCAGACGGTTCTGTGCACCACTTAAAACATGTGTAGCCTTTATAACAGAGCGAGAAAAGTCCTTGAACAGAAGTAAAAACGCAATCCTCCGTCTTTTGTTGATGTCAGTTTGAAGGGTTTGGCAGATTCCACATCGCATCGTTGTCAACATCATTTGCTTCGTTCTTTACAAGGATTGAACACTTAAGACACACTTAAAATATCTGAATTAGATAACAAAATATCAGACTACAGGCATCTGCAAATGAAATGAACTTTTCTGTGCCATTTTGTTTTTCTTCCGTTTTTATTTTCAACAGTATACCATTCAAACGTTTGGGGTTTGGATTTTTGAAATATCTTATGCTCATCAAGGCTGCATTTAAAAAAAAACAAAAAAAAAACAGTAAATATGATAATATTGTGAAATATTATCACAATATAAAGCAGCTGCTTTCTATTTTAATACATTTTAAAATGTAATTTATTTCTGTGACGGAAAGCAGAATTTTTAGCATAATTACTCCAGTCTTCAGTGTCACATGATCCTTCAGAAATCATTCAAATCAAATCAATCAGTGTTGAAAACATTGTGCTGCTTTATCTTCTTGTGGAAACAGTAATACATTTTTCCATTTTATGATGAATTCAGTAATAAAATAGAACTTTTTTTAACATTATAAATGACCTTACTGTCAATTTTGCTCAATTCAATGCATCCTTGCTGAATAAAAGTATTAATTCCTTCACACAAGCAATCTACAGCGGCTCATCCTTTTCAAATGAAAAGAAGCAGGACAGAAAATCTGCAGATCGGACCATTTGAGATTACACTCCCTGCCCATTTGCATTTTAGTCTTAGATTATTCAGTGCTGAAAAATGTATATTTTAAAATAGAATGGTGAGTTTATGTAATCAGCTCATATTCATCTGATTAATGAAGGAATGAATGTGGGAGAACAGAGCAGAGGTGCTGATCTGTGCTTTTCTTTTTATAGTGGAGACTTTAAACTCCTTCGCTGTTCATCATGAGTAGGAGATCGCAAATAATATGTTGAAGATCCTGAAAAATGAATATAGCACCATCATATTAGTATGGATGCACACGATTTACCTGTCAGAAAGAAAATAGAACTTTTTTTAACATTATAAATGACCTTACTGTCAATTTTGCTCAATTCAATGCATCCTTGCTGAATAAAAGTATTAATTCCTTCACACAAGCAATCTACAGCGGCTCATCCTTTTCATATGAAAAGAAGCAGGACAGAAAATCTGCAGATCGGACCATTTGAGATTACACTCCCTGCCCATTTGCATTTTAGTCTTAGATTATTCAGTGCTGAAAAATGTATATTTTAAAATAGAATGGTGAGTTTATGTAATCAGCTCATATTCATCTGATTAATGAAGGAATGAATGTGGGAGAACAGAGCAGAGGTGCTGATCTGTGCTTTTCTTTTTATAGTGGAGACTTTAAACTCCTTCACTGTTCATCATGAGTAGGAGATCGCAAATAATATGTTGAAGATCCTGAAAAATGAATATAGCACCATCATATTAGTATGGATGCACACGATTTACCTGTCAGAAAAAGAATGATCTGCATTTCGACATTCACGTTTATCTAAAGGATTTAAAGGAGCATGTGCATTTTTCATCTTTACATTTTTCCCCTTGACATCCACTTATGATGCAATTCATTTTACTGATCATTTCTCTCTGATCTTTAGAATTAAGCAGGCTGTTGATAGCACAGATGAGTGATAGCGCTGTGGGATAAAATAATGGATCCATGCTAACAAGCCAAACCTTGAACTTGCTAAGCAGTGATCTTCAGGCATTGTGACCTGTCGCTGACCCCTAACCGTGACCCAGCGACATTCACGTTTATCTAAAGGATTTAAAGGAGCATGTGCATTTTTCATCTTTACATTTTTCCCCTTGACATCCACTTATGATGCAATTCATTTCACTGATCATTTCTCTCTGATCTTTAGAATTAAGTTGTTGATAGCACAGATGAGTGATAGCGCTGTGGGATAAAATAATGGATCCATGCTAACAAGCCAAACCTTGAACTTGCTAAGCAGTGATCTTCAGGCATTGTGACCTGTCGCTGACCCCTAACCGTGACCCAGACCTCATCGATATCCGAGACCCAGGAGAAGAGCCCGAGATGGGGCTTCGAGAGGAGGCCCGTGACGCCCGCCGCTGGAGGTTTCGGGAAATGGAGCGGTGTAGGTTCTTGTTGGAGGAACAGGCTGCCATGCTGACCAGCCAAGGATGCTTAAGAGTTTCCTCAGCGTTCATCCGGCGCTCGGGCTCAAGGGTCAGGAGACAATCGATGAAGCTTTTGGCCAATGTAGATACTGATTTCCATGGCTAAAAGAGAGATTGGGAGAGAAAAAGTTTGCCAGTATAATTAAAGTCCATTAATATCTGACAAATATGAGCGTGATTCAGTAGTCTTGAAAAGACTCCCAAGTAATGAAAAATCTTTAGCAGAATCCTTAAACTCCAGAAACTCAGTAAGTTTGTAACTCAGTCCAGCAAACCCTCCTGCCCACATTTCTCCTGCATGAAATCGATTCATTGCTGGTTTTGCATTCAGTCTGTGTTTAGAACAGCATCAACTCATTACCGGTCTGAGAGCCAACACAGCACAGCTATGGCTGTAAATGTCACTGCGTATACAGACACGGGTTCTGCCGGCATGGAGGCCGGACCGCCGTCTTCTGACCACCAATGACCTGTGCCACCGACGCTTCTGCCTCTTAAGCTGCATTAGATATACAACATGGCATTTTCGCCTCGTCGCCGTTTGAATGTGAGGACATTAGTCAATAAATGTCAGCGGTTCTCAATAGATCTGTGACTCATCGCTAATTTGAAGTTAATAACTATCTCTGGCATAAGAGAAGCATTCAGAGGATTTTATCCTATGGTAAAACAGGACGAAAAACAAGAAAAAATGCAAACTGTGAATTGCAAAAAGTTTATAAAATAGGTGATTATGATTATAAATTGGATGAGCGATGAACAGGAAGATGGCACATTGTAAAGATCCTACATTTAGAATAATAAACAAAATTACCAGGAATAATTATTTGGAATGAACATCTTTCTTTCTTTCTTTCTTTCTTTCTTTCTTTCTTTCTTTCTTTCTTTCTTTCTTTCTTTCTTTCTTTCTTTCTTTCTTTCTTTCTTTCTTTCTTTCTCTCATTCTCTTTCTCTCTCTCTCTCTCTCTCTCTCTCAATCAAAAAAAATAATTGAAAAAAATGATAATTAAAATAATTTTATATATAATATAAAAAAATTCTAATTTTGAAAAAACGAATAATTCTCTTTCTCTCTCTCTCTCTCGCTCTCAATCAATCAAAAAAAATAATTGAAAAAAATGATAATTAAAATAATTTTATATATAATATAAAAAAATTCTAATTTTGAAAAAACGAATAACTAATAATAATTTTGTAAATATTACAATTAGATAAACAAACAAATAAATAAAATAAATAGTAAAAAAAAAAAGTGATGAAATGTGATGTAATTATTAGTTTAGCCACTTCAAAGTAGAAATGCAATCCATATTTTTGTCAAAATAAACTTCATCCATTAATTTCTAACATTGGGATTCTTCAAAAGGTTATACAAAGCAACAGGACAATAAGAATCATCAATATTAATGTGACAATATTAATGTAACATTATTTAAAAAAAATTTTTTATTATCAATAAATTATATTCTTTACATTTTTTTATAAAATTCATAATAATTATTAATAAAACTCAAAGTAATTGTTCTGAATATGATTGCTCTATTTACTGAACATCGGTATAAAACATGACTGTAGAAGTAATATCAGCTGTGATTTTAACATCCTTTCCCTTACACATTATTTGCATGGATTGCAAAAGTAGATGATAACTGGGTGCTACACTCTGAAGTCAACATGAGGTCACATGACAATATAGCATAATGATGCACATTAAACCGTCTCACTGCAAGTAGTAAGCTATAGCCTTCCATTCTGAACACAGCTTCTCTCACTCCCACACATTCAGTAAAGACAATTAATCAGCCATGAAATTGACAATTGCAAGTCTGCTGCTGAAGAATGGATTTTAAAGAGGAGGTTTCATTCAAACACGCACAGAAACACTTTCAAAAAAAGAAAACGTGTGTGAGTTTTACAAGAAAACTTTAAAGTACATTAGTCTTGCTGTGGTCTGTGTCAACCGAAGTAAAGAATCCAGTAATTACATGAAGAAAAAGAGAGAAATCTAACATCAATAAAACATAGCAAGAGCCAAACGACTATCTCTGGTGTTCTGCGGTCCAATCTATTATTCTGTCCTGCCGAGTGATTGTGTATTCATGTGGTTAAATATATATGTATATATCTGTGCAGAAGTGTGGGTCCATGCTCTGCGTGCGTGCATGTGTTTAACCTATAAAGGACAGTCGACTAGTTTCTAATTACACACCATAGAACAGCATGTGAATTCACAGCGAGATGCAGATAAAAAAAATGAATTCTGAAATTAGGCTTTAATGAAAAAAGGTTCAGTCCTTATTTGAAGTCGTTTTTAAACTTTGTTGTTTTGGGTTCTCCAGAGTCTTTAATAAGTGTGTGAATATAATCTGTGTAGTATTTAATGAGAGAAATCATCAGGTCAAACGAGTGAGATGAAACACATTTGCAAGAATTATCTCAGGTGTGTCGGCGCACAGCGTGTCGCCACTGCGAGATGTTGTGATTACCTTTAGCATTAATATACATGAAATACAAGTAGGCGAAGAACTTAATAATAGAATGCAAATTAAAAATCCATGGAAACATTAATCAGAAACCAAGCAGTATATTAACAAATAAGGAAATCTAAAAAAAAAAATGCACGTACCATTTTCTTGTGTTTTTTGTCGTTTCAAAAATCTAATTTGAGTAAAAATTTAATTAGCATTATAAAAGCTAAAAGCAAATCTGCAAAGTGCTAATATTTTTGGAATTTTTTTTTTTTGGGGGGAGAAAATACTATTTCAGTCTTTCTACTTCAAATTTTCATGTTTAATTTACCTGCCATTTATTTTTTTCCCTTTTTCTTTTTATATTTACTAGCAATTTCTGAGTGAAAATTATTTTTTTTTATATTTATTTAAAAGTATTAGTAAAATTGTAAGTTGTCAAACTATTTTTAGTGGCCTTTTTAATGTTAGCATTTTAATCACTTTCCTTTGTCATGCTTTCAGGATAAAAAAAAGGTCTAAATTGTTAATAAAGAGTGATTATTTGTGAAACCTAGAAATTCTGAAGTAAATTTTTTTTTAAAGTAAATCCTACTCTTTTTTTACTCTACAAGAACACGGGGGAAAAAATGCACGTACAATTTTCTTGTGTTTTTTGTCGTTTCAAAAATCTAATTTGAGTAAAAATTTAATTAGCATTATAAAAGCTAAAAGCAAATCTGCAAAGTGCTAATATTTTTGGAATTTTTTTTTTTGGGGGGGAGAAAATACTATTTCAGTCTTTCTACTTCAAATTTTCATGTTTAATTTACCTGCCATTTATTTTTTTCCCTTTTTCTTTTTATATTTACTAGCAATTTCTGAGTGAAAATTATTTTTTTTTATATTTATTTAAAAGTATTAGTAAAATTGTAAGTTGTCAAACTATTTTTAGTGGCCTTTTTAATGTTAGCATTTTAATCACTTTCCTTTGTCATGCTTTCAGGATAAAAAAAAGGTCTAAATTGTTAATAAAGAGTGATTATTTGTGAAACCTAGAAATTCTGAAGTAAATTTTTTTTTAAAGTAAATCCTACTCTTTTTTTACTCTACAAGAACACGGGGCAGCTTCAAACAGATGCATGGTAAAGCTGCACAAAAAAGGAATGAAAACAATACATACTCAATACAATTATCCAAATGGGTTAAACGGCCAGACTTTAAGTCCATTAAGAGTCACTTTATAGCTTGTGTATCTATGCTAAGGAATGACATGGTGGATATTAACCCACTTATTACAGTCTTGCTCTCCAGATACCAATTATATTGTGACTCAGTAGTCCCAAACCAAAAAATAAAAAATAATAATTCCCACATGTGTCTGATTACTGTCTGTGAGCAGCAGGATTACAAATAGCGTTATAGTTAATGTTCTTTCTCTTCAAGAGAACAGCAATTATTGTTGTACAATTGCACCTATAATTTCACACCTCTGGGGGTTGGAAGTGATAAAGAAATGTGTGTGTCTGTGTGCGTTTGCAGTATAAGGGTGATAAAAGCCCTGTGGTGAATCTCCTCTCACCTCACACACACACACACACGCGCTCACACACCCTTGAGACGAGGCGAGTGGACGTGCTGTGCGTGGGCGACACATCAGTCAGGTAGCTGCTGGCTGTTTACACAGGTGACCGGATTTCACCTTCCCACACACACAAACTCTGTTTGCCCTTTAATTCACACTCGGCTGGATGTTTCATCGCTCTGCTGGGTCATTCCAGGCATCTCGGTGCTGGTGGTCTGGTTAGGCCATCATAAGCTTCAATATGATTATGAAGTATTCAATCTAAATATGAATATACTATCATTACAGTAGCTTCAGATATTTGCATACTTAAGGAACAATTAAAAATGTATGAATGCCATTGTGGCCTTAGATAACAAAATATATATTCTGGTTCAAATGTTAGGGGATTGTAGATTTTGAAACAAAACATTTACGTTCATCAAGGCTGCATTTATTTGATCAGAAATAAAAAAACAGTAATGTTGTGAAATATTATTACAATTTAAAGTAACTATTTTAATAATTAAAAGAAGTATTTTTCTATCTGAATATATTTTAAAATGTAATTTATTCCCGGGAGGCAAAGCTGAATTTCCAGCATCACTACTCCAGTCTTCAGTGTCACATGGTCTTTCAGAAATAATTCTAATATGCTGATTTGCTGCTCATAAAACATTTGTTATTATTATCATTGCTAATATTTTTGTATAAACTGTGAAACATTTTTTTTCAGGACTCTCCGATGAAGATATTGTCTGCTAAAGAAAAGGTCTGTGTTTTTACACATGCAAAATACGGTTTGCATTAAGATAAGAATAAATTCCTAATATATATTTAAGTTTTTGTGACAGGTGGGATCTCACTTTTCAGAAAATGTGCTGAAAATGTGCTCACCCTCAGGCCGTCCAAGATGTAGATGAGTTTGTTTCTTCATCAGAACTGATTTGGAGAAATTTTGCATAACATCACTTACTCACCAATGGATCCTCTGCAGTGAATGGGTGCCGTCAGAGTCCACACAGCTGATAAAAACATCACAATAATCCACTAGTAATTCACACCACTCCACTCCATCAACGGACATTTTCTGAAGTAAAAAGCGGCACATTTTTAAGAAACAAATCCATCATTAAGACGCTCTTAAATTCAAACCGTTGCTTCTGAAGTCTATCCATAATATTGCTTTCTCCAGATTTTTTTCTCCAGTGTTGTTATGGATTATGGACTTAATTGTCGGCTTAAAGGTAAAATGTCTAGATGGATTTTCACTTCAAGATTGCTGGATTACAGTGATGTTTTTATCAGCTGTTTGGACTCTCATTCTGACGGCACCCATTCACTGCAGAGGATCCATTACTGAGCAAGTGATGCAATGCTACATTTCTCTAAATCTAAATCTTCATCTACATCTTGGATGGCCTGAGGGTAAATTCAGCACATTTTCATTTTGACTGAACTGGTCCTTTAAACTCACAAATAAAAACACACATTGCGTGAGGAAAAGCATTGTGACACTCACATCACCATGGAAACTGTAGCTGCCTCTGAGAATGGCCCTGAAGAGACGCGGTCGGCTGCTCTGGTCGAAGGGCAGCGAGCCGCTCAGCAGGATATAAGTGATGACTCCCAGCGCCCACATATCCACAGCGCTGCTACAGGGTCTCCGTGCCAGCATCTCAGGGGCCAGGTACTCCGGCGTGCCGCAGAGTGTCCTCACAGCCCAATCTTTAGCCTGACAGCTCTTCTCAACATCTACAGAGTCAAAATGTGCATCCCGAGTCATAACAGCTGTATCTTCTCTGCTTTGATATGAAACCGTCGTCTTGTTCTCCCAGCAAGCGAGTCCAAAGTCTGTTATGATTAATCGCGAGTCCTGTCCCGGATGGTAGTACAGTAGGTTTTCGGGTTTGAGGTCCCTGTGGATGACGCCCAGCGTGTGTAGATAGCGCAGCCCGCTGGACACCATCATCAAGGCCTTGGTGGCGTCCCGTTCTCTGAAGGTTCCTCGGGCGACCACGCGCTCCAGGAGCTCTCCTCCCGTGGCCAGCTCCAGAACCAGATAGACGCAATGCTGCGTCTCGAACACCTCGGCCAGGCGGATGACGTTGTTGTGGTTCACCCGTCGCAGGACCCCGAGCTCTGCTTGACAGGCCTCGTGACCCTCACGACCTTTGACCTCCAGAAGTTTTATGGCGAAGGGTTGGCGTGTGCGTCTGTGCTCAGCACGAACCACGCGGCTGAAGCTGCCGCAGCCGATCAGAGCCTTGATGTCATACCTAAAACAAGATATGAACACCTGTGAGATACCATTACTGTTTTTAGTCATATTAAGAATTCATTTTTTTATTTTGCATTTTCATTTTAATTTGAGACCATTTTAATAATTTGGTGCTGTGTTTTTGTCATTTGTATTAGTTTTTTGGTAACACTATTTTAAGGTGTCCTTGTTACACGTTACACGTAACACGTACTTACTATAATAATAACAATACATTATGCATAATTACATGCAAGTAGCCCTAAAACAAACCCTAATCCTAACCCTAGCCATAAAGTAAGTACATGTAGTTAATTAATATTACTCAGTACTTAAATGTATAATTACACTGTAACAAGGACACCTTAAAATATAGTGTAACCATTTTTTTATTTTTATTTAAATATGTTGATATAGTTTTTATTATTTTTTATTTTAGTTTTGGTTTTTTAGTACATTAAGTTACAAGGTTATTCATAGTATTAGTTTTATTAATATTTTAAATTAGTTTTTATTTTCATATTTTCGGTTTTCATTTTAGGTAGATTTTTAGTAATTGTTTTGTGTGCTTTTTGTAATTTTTATTTATTTATTTAATATGTTTATTTATTATTATTATTATGTTTTACATCAACCTAAACTAATACAATTGAGAATGTTGCCTTGGCAGATATCTGACATAAAATAAGTTTAAGGTCTTTTTGTATTTCTTTTTTTTAAAATTCCAGTTAACGTAACAAATGTTTTATGGTTTACATTTTAGTTGTAGTTAACTATAATAACCATGCATGTTAAACTAAATGAAAATGAGAAATTTTTATTTGGCAACTAGCATGATTAAAATAAGGTTTTAATTAAAAAAAAATATATATATATATTAGTTATTGTTTATTTTATTTCAAGTAACAAAATAGTTTTTTTTATGGTTTTATTTTAGTTAACTTTAATATGCACAGAAGCATCTGCTATGAGAAACTATTGTGTTGCTGTAATTGGATGCATCAAATTAAATTAAAATCACATTATTTCATAAATGAGATTTCATTATTACTTTTAGGCTGGTATTAAATGCTGTGAGTGGCACTGGTGGACTAATAAATATAATAAAGCATTTAATTATAGCAGGGATCTGTAATTGACATGTCATGTTTGATATCTTAATTCTGCCGTCCAGTCTAAAATAATAACGTTTATGGCATTGTGAAGAATTCTTCATAAAGGTTATGTTAGGAATGAAATACTAGCTTTGTGCTTACTGCATACTTTTGAGAGGCATAATAATAATATTTAACATCCATACAGTTTTTACTGTATTTTTAATCAAATAAACGCAGACTTGGTGAGACTTCTTTCAAAAACATATATATTTTTTAAATTGTACCACCTCCAGATGTTTGACTGGTAGTGTATTAAACAAAACTTTGGCTTAACTTGCAAATGCATACAGAAAATTCACATATTGGTCACAATATAGCGTACATTCTCCATACTACCTGTACTGTTTTTGCAGTACGGCAGATGCTATTCTGGAAACACAACATCAGTACCTCGCTGTGACGCGTGGATCAAACTTTGCACGAAACGTTGCATTAGGATTCGTCATCCACTCCTCCAGATGAACCGATTCTTTGACTCCTTCTGATATTCCTCCTCGGGAAGGCCTTCTGTCACTTCTTCTCCTCCAAAGCCAAGCTTGTTGTTTCTCTTTACACTTTTCCCTGTCAGTCTCTTGTTTCTTGAAGTTCACAACAGAATTGAGAAGGCAAAAATATCCATTTTTAGAGGGCTCAGGCAACACTTTGCCAGAACTACTTCCCATTATAAACACTTTACAGGGTGAGATGCGTGGAAATAATCCATCCAGATGCTGTTAGATGGGCTGACACTTGCCTAAGTGAATAAACCTTCACATATCCTCCTAATGGACGCATGGCTTTGAGCTGGTTTGAAGAGCAGCTGTTGCACACCTGCACACGACTGCTGCATTTTCAGCACAAGTGCAACAACTCACACCTGAGTGACGGCTGTTTGATCCACGGCTATTTCAGGGGTCTTTTAACAACACCATCATTGCCCTGTAACAAAACAAAGAAAGCTTGATCACCTATGAATGAATCCATATATATATCTTGTTTAAAAAAAAAAAAAAAAAAAAAAAAACCTGACACAGTAAACGTTTGAAACTGATACGGTTATATTTATATAGCTATGAAAAAGGCAGGGTTTTATCATAAAAAAAAAAAAGATGCGCACGGTAAGATAAACTTTGTAAATGCTGTTTGTGGGCATCCTTTTGTCTTCTGAATCCCTGAAATAAAATGCAATAATAATAAAAAAAATAAAGCATACAAAAAAATCTATTTGCAAACACTAAAGCAAAATCTATAAAGACAAACGACTAAGTTCAGAAAATTTTTAATTTACAGTAAAAAAAAAAAAAAAAAAGGCCTCCATTTCCTGAAAATGACCCATGAACCTTCATGTAGGCTTATTAAGAGAATATAAGGAGAATTAATATTAATGGAATATATTTATAGACAAATATACACCCAATATAGACCATGTTTAATGGCATTTTTTCCAATAATCATTCATTTAAATGACAGTCCGCTGAAGACTTGATAATTCCCAGTTCATAGGAAGGTAAAATTTCACAAAAGATGTCAGTTTTAACTCATAGACCAGAAATAGATGACCTACAACAGATATGAACACCTGTGAGATTTGTTTTATTCATATTTTGAATGTTTTTATTTGTAGATTTTCCATTTTTTATTTTAATTTCAGTAACATTACTAAACTAATAAAAATGAGAATGTTGCCTTGGCAGCTATCTGAAAAAAAACTATTAATCAAAAATCAAATGAAATATTAAAGTTATAAATGTATTCACGTTTGAAAGAAAAAAAAAGTATTAGCATATCTTCCTTCATTTATTAATTAATGCAACAGATGGTTAAATAGAAGTACATTGTCACATGACTTTGCATGTGGCATCCAATTATTATCTTGAGAACAGATATGGCTATTTTATATATTTCATTCAATTTTGTGTTACTGTAAAGCTCTGGCAGTCAAAAATGACTAATTCTGGATAACACTGTACAATCAAGTTGAATGCATTGCATTGTGCAATACAGACCATTATAGTTAAACTGAAGCAAAAAATAAAAATTGAAACAAACAAAAAAAACCCCCTAAAAAAATAAAATATATAAAACATTTTACCCTAAACCCCCCCCACAAATGTTTACCCATAAGGAATATTTCATATATATATATATATATATATATATATATACAGTATATATACATAGATAGATAGAATGCACACTTATTCTGCATATTTCTTAATTTTTTTATGACGATTGTGTAGCTGTATGACATTTGTTTGGTTGGGTGGGTTTTTGGAGAGATGCGGTGTATGTTAGAAATGAGCAAAATGGCTGGAATCACTTACAGCATCTTTAATACTACTGGCACACACAAACACTGAATCCAAATTCTACTGAAAATAAAGTTAAATCGCTGTTCAGATGTTGCTCTCTCTCAGGCTTTTGTGCTCTATTAAACTGATTATTGCACACACTCCTGCTGCCACTGCAAATAATCCACACTTACAGTGTGTGTGTGTGTGTGTGTGTGTGTTTATTGCCTCCACCATTAAAGTTTACACTCTTCCAGAGCAGCAACACAAAATGTGATCACAGCTGCTGGAGAACTCCTGTACTTAGGAGTAGAAATGGAATGTAATGGAACATTTCTCTGTGACTACCAATAACAATCCCAGTTTTATTAAAACCCAAATCAGAGTCTTACAGTCTTGGCAGTGAGATGATGAGTTTGCGGGAGGGCGGTCAGAGTGCAGCATGGCAGACGTGTAACAAGGACTAATTCAGCCAAAACTGAAAAATCTGTCATCTTTTATTCGCCCTCATGCTGTTCCAAACCTGTTTGGTGTTATTTTTCTCTGTGGGACACAAAAGGCAAATTTGGAAGAATCTTCACATACATTAGAGGTTTTCCAGCCAACAATAATTCTCAATATTGAATCTGAATATGAGTGTGACAGACATTCGCTCTTAAAGGAATAGTTCAGGCAAAAATGAAAATGATGTAATCAGTTACTTTCTTTCTTCTGTTGAGCACAAAAGGAGATATGGAAAAATACTATGCAAGTCAATGGCTACCATCAACTCTTCGGTTACCAACATGCTTTGGTTTGTAACAAGGGTGAGTAAACCACAGAATTAATTGTAAAGTTTTTTTTTTCAGGAGAACGCTCTCTTTAATACAGACCAAAATGTTATCTATCTCATGCAAAGCTATTGTATGGCTTCAGAAGATTGACGTGGAGTTGTATGGACAAGATTTATGATGCATGTATGAGGATTTTTGTTAATTTTATAACTTGACAGTCATAACGTTGAATAGCAAATATATGCGAAGATGGAAAATGGAAAAAAATAACATCACATGGGTTTGAAATGACATAAAGGCGAGTAAATATTGGCAGGGAAAAGTATGCATATCATTCAAAAGTTAGAGGTTGGAAATATTTTATTTATTTATTTATTTTTTAATTCGTCTCTTATGCCCATCAATGCTGCATTTATTTGATTAAAAATACCCTAATATTGTGAAATATTGTTACAATTTAAGATAACTGTTTTCTATTTCATATATTTAAAAATGCAATTTATTCCTGCAGTAATAAAGCAGAATTTCCAATAGAAATATGAAGGGAAAGTTTATTTGAAAAAGAAATCTTTTGTAGCATTATAAATGTCACTTTTTAATATGCCCGTGCTGCAAAAAATAATAATAATAATAAAAAAAATAATTACAGACCCCAAACATTTGAAAAGTTGCATTTATCTTTAAAAGAACCCAAAATATTGATATCTGAAGGAACATTCTGACATTTTCCAGATAAGACATTTTCGATGTTTGTATTTTATGGACTCAAAAGTGCTTTTAGAGAGAAATAAATAATACTGGCTGAAGGCGCTGTCGTTAAAACGTATCCATTCATCCTTTGCCTTTAATGAACACTTCAAACTAAATGATGTGCTCGGAGTCTTACATATTAGCGAGACTTGTAATTGAAGAATTGATTGCAGGCACCGTAGTTCATTAGACATCAGTGGAGAAAAGGACTTATTTACCTTTCAGGTCTGTGCAAACTGGACGGACGAAATCAATCACTCGTTCCACCCACTCACCTGTTCTTCGCATCCATTTGCCTAGTTTTCGTTCTTTCCGCAAGGATCTGGTGAAGCTGTGTTTTTTCTGGTCATCCTGCTGAGCTGCTTCTGCAATAAGGAGCTGGGATGTGGCCCTGCGGCGTGAAAACTAAACTAATCAGCGTGAGGAGTGGGGCCGGCTGCAGCAGAGACTCCTCCGTCACAGCAATGGCCTGTTTCTCTCGGGAGAGCCTGATGAATACTCTCATTTTCCAGCGGACAGTCCGTCGGAGGAACAGGAGCAGAGGGAGGTGGGGTCAGAAGAGGTCAGCGGACAAATAGCCCGTGACGCCTTGATTGAGCGAATCATGAACGTCGCACCAGTCGGTAAAAACTTGATTAAAATGACGGATTGCGCTGCCTGCTTCCCTCACTTTATGAAGCCGAGGAGATGCACGGCTCTCCGATGCGCAATTAATGGATGTGTCTGCTAATTGGTTTCTGCTGGTGTTGGCCTCGGGCGGAGCAGCAGGAGGTGTGGAGAGGAGCAGGACTATCAGATGAGGAGCACTGCAGGCAGATAACCAGCACGAGGCATCCATCCGTTTATCAATCATGCTCTGTGGCAGTTCTGGATTATATTTCAGGATCGAGATTTTGGACAAGAAGTGAGCCAACAGTTTATCAAATAAAAGTAAACAAAAATGTGCTGAAATCACAGACACACTTTCAATTAAAAAACAAAAACCTTTTATTCAGCACGGATGCACTCAATGGATAAAATGTGACACTAAAGACATTTATAATTCAGAATTAAAAAAAAAGAGCAAAACTATTTTCAACATGGACAATAATACGAAATGTGTCTTGAGCAGCAAATCAGCATATTTTCATGATTTCTGAAGGATCATGTGACATTGGAGTAATTATGCTGACAATTTAGCATTGCACCACAGAAATAAATTATATTTTAACATATATTAAAATAGAAAACTGTTGTTTCAAATTGTAATATTATTTCACAATATTTGTTTTTACTGTATTTTTGATCACATTAATTCAGCCTCAGTGAGCATAAGAGGCTTTCAAAAACATTAACATTTATATATCAGTGTTATTTTATTTTCACTGAGATACTATTATAGTTTTTTAAAGATTTTGTATATATATAGTTTTTACCATTTTTTTTATTAGTTTTTGTTTCTTTTAAATATATAATTTATTTTTATTAAAATTTTAGTTTTAGTTATTTTAGTACATAAAGTAAATGAAAATGAGAAATTAAGTTTAAGTTTTTTTGTTCAATTGTATTTAATTTGATAATGTTTCTTTTATTAACATGTTTCTTTTTTTTTAAAATATATATTTTTTATGGTTTTAGATTTAGTTTTAAATTTTAGTTTTTTTTTTTTTTTTTTTTTAGATTTAATTTATTGTAATAACCAAGCAATATACACTACCGGTCAAAAAGTTTTTTGAAGACTTTTGCAAGAAATCTCTTATGTTCATCAAAGCTGCATTTGTTTGATTAAAAATACAGTACAAACATTGTACATTTTATTACAATTTAAAATAACTCTTTTCTAATTGAATATATTTTAAAATGTAATTATTTTGCCTTTGTGAGCAGAAGAGACCTCTTTCACAAACACAACAAAATGTAAATTATTCAACTTTTATATACACATTTACATAACAAATATAGATACATTTACAGTACCTTGAGGAGTTTTATTCATGGTTTCCACTTCTGTCCAGCTCTCCATGTCAGAGGTTTTCAATGAGAGGACATAAGTACAGAAAGCACACAGCCATCACTCACAGACATCTGATATCTCAAGATGGTCTCTCGGTGACAGTAAAAGAAAACATTACCTCAAAATGGCTAAGGCCAAAACAAGAGTACATATTGCTATCATTCGTCTCGGTGATAAAGTGGAGTGCTTCAAAGGGGTTAAAATCACTCCTCGCTGGGATGTCGTGTGTTGTGATGAACAAGGAGTAGCCTTGACAAGCCCTGACAGATGAAACCATAACATTTGAACCACGGCAACAGTAAAAAGGTGTTCCAATACTGTTTCTTTCTACTATATTTCTTTCAGATTGAGAGAAAGTTTACTCAAAGGGCTAAAATTAGTCTGTAGGGAACCATTCAATTAAACACAAGAGATATATGCCACTTCTGCTTGAGCTTTCAGAAATCTAATATCCGTTCGGTACATCTATCAAGCCGCAGGGCAAACTTATTTAAGCACAGACCCGTCCAGAGTGTAAAATAGTCACATGATTTGAAAAGAAGCAAATTTAATTTGAAAATGGGGTTGTCAAATTACTTCAATTATACTGCACCCTGAATTTCCATCACATGGATTGCACCGAATGGATTACGTCTTCTAATTACTGAGGAGCTTTTCAAGGGGAATGATTTCTGTCACTTTGATGTGCTTTTGCTCCTACTTAAGTGCACTGTCTGGGCGCTACTACTGTGAGGCACTTAGCAAGAAAGTAGCTTAAATGTTTAATCATCAAACATTAGCACCTTATTTAACAAACTTGTTTGAGGACCTTCATTCCGCTGCTCTTAATATTGTGGAACGGAAGCGGTTGGGCAAGACGAAAGCAACTGTGTTGAAACACGAAGTGAATTTATAATCAGCTGGTTTATATAGAAACAAAGGCAAGATGAGGCTCAAGGAATATTTCGCCTGATTGTCCTCCACCAAAGCTCTGAAATATCATTCGCATTTGTGTTCGGATTCAAAAATGGCACTTCAGAGAAGATCAGCATTCATTTCAGTCTGTTACTTACGCATTGCTATAGTTCTGACTTTAGATGAAAAGCCCGTCTTATAAGTTTGAAATTTGTATTTAATTGCATAGAAGTGATTTTGGTCAGAATAAAATGGACGTATTGCACAATTATAAATTATTTTCTCTCTTTTCTTCACTCCCTGACAAAGGCAGGACACTTTTTTAATGCTACCGCAGTATAATAAAGAGCTAAGCTTTTTTTGAAGAAAGCAATTCATATTTTTATTATTTTTTATTAATAATGATAATTTATTATTACTTAATTTTAATGATTACAACAAATGTTACAAAATATGACAACATATTTTGTCAAATTAATGCTTTTCTTTTGAACTTTCTATTCAAAGAATCTGGAAAAACATTTATCATGGTTTCCAAAAAATATATTTATAAAATGTTATTTATAAATTATTATTTATTATTAATTAATTGTATTATATCATTTTTATTACAGTAAAGACATGTTACAAAATATTTTGTCAAATTAATGCTTTCCTTTTGAACTTTCTATTCATCAAAGAATCCTGAAAAAAGTATCATGATTTTCACAAAATATAGTTCTAAAATGCATAAAAAGTAATGGACCACTTTTATGCATTTTTTTTAAAACATTGTTTAGAAATTCTCATTGGTGTTAAAATAAATAATGTAGGAACAGCATGAGGTGAGAAATAAAAAATAAAATAATACAACATCTTCATTTTTGAGTGAAATATCCCTTTAAGAGGAGAATTTGGAGCTCAAGCATCACACACACACACACACACACACACACACACACACACACACACACACACACACACATGCCTGTTCTCGTAAACTACTTTTGTGAAAAGTGGGGACTCTCCATAGGCGTAATGGTTTTTATACTGTACAGACCGTATTTTCTATTGCCCTACACCAACCCTACCCCTAAACCTACCCCTCACAGGAGACTTTCTGCTATTTCAGATTTTCAATACACACCGTTCTGTGTGATTTATAAGCGTTTTGAAAAGTGGGAACATGGGGTAATGTCCTGAAAAGTCACCTTCTCCTTGTAATACCTATGTCATACCCTTGTCATTATACAAATTTATGTCCTCATTTGTGACAAAAATGCGCGCACACACACACACACACACACA